GTTTAGTTCGTTGCGGACGGTGGGCGTATCAGCCAGAATGAGTTGGCGCGGTGCCAGACCCTTTCTCCACCAATTGTTGAAGCCGTAAATGACAAGGCTGTATCATATCGTTAGTATCACTCGCTTTCTACCAATTGCTGTCGCATATCCACTTCAATAACTGGCAGAGAACGTGCTTAGCGTTGTGGCACAGTTATACGGCCTGACACGCCCCTTCCTCCCAGCGAACTAGAGTGTAAACTTCTTTGCCTGTATTTCTCTTAAAATGCTGTTGCTTCATTAGGCATGCTAATGTTCATAAAATCGTCCGTTTGGAAAAATTTGTTCGGCAAGGAAGCTGACAAGTTGGAGCGCTCGAACGACGACCAATGCACATGTGAGTTTTTTGTTCAGTATTAGCTATTTTCTGGAGCAAAAGCGCATTTATTTTTCATTGCCACGACAGCGCACGACCTTCTGAATAGAGCAGCAGCTTTCTAGATAGTTTTTTTGTATATTCTAACCCTCTAATTGCTTTTCAAGCGCTCGATTTTCAAAATGGATCCGTCACATAGACAAGAACACACGGAAATAGCTTTCAGGCGATGATACGCCCTGAACTTGGTTGCGCCTTACACCCCAGAAAATAGAGCACTTTTAGTTGGTAACTGCGTTACTACTTTGTGGAGGTTCTACAATTTTGGAGAATACGCGACTAAGGAAAGAACTGGTCTTGATCTGAAGAATCCAGTAGACTTCTGAGAACCCGCTGCAAAGAATTAGATGTGAATTGACTGACTCCGCCCACCAGGTCTCCCGGTGCGCACGTTCTTCGAAAACATTTGTAATCGGAGTTTGTCGATTCCCATCTAGTTCATCACCTGCAATTTAAGAAAACCTGGAGTGTCTAGATCGATATTCATAATTTCCTGTATGAGCGTTACCCCGTATCGCAAACCAGACAGGTTATCGCATATAGCGTGTTTCTCCCCATTCCGAAGTGTGAACGCGGTCAAAGGACAGCCGAATATCGTGTCGGTTGCTGTTGGTGATGAGTCTGCATTACATAAAGTTACTAGGCGTCTTTCGAGTCGTTCTTGGTTAACACTACACTTGAAATAAAACGCTTCTCGTGGTATACCTTTTATGAACTAACGAAATAAAATTTTAGTTTCACAACATTTTTTGATCTTGTCTTTACTTCCCTTATACCCTTCACCGCTATTTTCAAGCTTTCAAATTCCAGATCTTCTGATAGAGAAAGAACCTGTCGTAAATACTTTCATATCTGTGCCGAAAGACAAAGGAATGCTGAACTGTGCTGCGTTTGTTGCTGGTATCATTCAGGCTATGCTCGATGTAAGAGATATGACATTGTTCTCAAACAATCTGCATTAGCTCATATTTTATTTTAGCACCGCTGTAGTTGAGGGTGGGACAGTGGCCACACGTCGGCGTGACAAGTTCTCTGGGGTTACGCGGTTGCGCACGGGCACTGGTCCACGGCAGGTCATCATCACGTTGTGGAAAGTTTTTGCAAAATACGCACGTCCCCGCAAATTTGCTTCGCTGGTACGACCCTCGTTCCCATCATGCCCATAGTTCTTCCCAACTTCTTCCGAAACCACGTCGAGGCGAGGGGGGAGAATAGGGTAGACATCTAACTATCAGAAGTCTGGGGAGGGCTATGTAGCGCTCGTGAGACAGAGCAAATTCAACATTGAGAAAAGAAGTTCCGAGGTCAAATATGACCCTTTACATCTCCTTCTGCGACCAAATACGCCGTCGTGGTTTTTTATCCTTAGATGATTAGCCCTGCTCTAGTTATTTGCGCTCCTCCAAGGCTGTGGAAAGGAATCGCTTCGTCACGCCGCCGCGTTTTTCCAGCTCCCTCAGCTGCAGTGGTTTCTCTATATTCGAGAGTATTAATGAAGTGAAGTGTATTCAGACTAGCAATTTTCCTTGTCAAGTATCGGCACATTGGTGGAACAACGGGACCGCATATGTGATTCGTTTCGAAGAGATTGTTATTTCTCGTGAAGCTGCGATTGTGGATGGGCCAAGATAGTGATTGCAGAGCACGCTAGTCATGTTCTTGTTATGATATTTGTGATAATTTTTGCTTGGTGTACAGCTTATTTCTGAAATAATATAATTTTTATTGGAACAAATGTAAGCTTATGTTGTATTGTTGGGACAACAGGTACTGGATTTACAATTGTTTTCTGCTTGCTATTGTTTCAAAACTTCTTCTAGAAGTGTTTTTGATGGACAATGAAATGGGTGAGACTCCTTGAAAGAAGGGTCGTTTCAACGTCCAGGCGGCCATGTTCGGTACGATCCAGTCATGTTTTTGCCACTAATTGGTATTGTCTCGTATTCTTAGCGGAAAGGGTTGAGCATC